CTTTAAGAGGAGGCTAGATGAACACCTTGCTGGGGTCCTTTGACCCCAGTACTTTTTCCTGCCATGGCAGGGGGTCGGACTTGATGATCTGCTCAGGTCCCTTCCAACCCTACCAACTATGAAACTATGAAACTATGAAGGCATTCTTTTTCTGGCTTCTTTGTCTAGATATCACCGGGACATGGCAGCAATGATTGCTCCTGTTTGAAAGGCCGAGGCAGTAAGCAGGAAGTGGAAATATTCAGAGCCTAGCAAGGACAATCAGCCCACAAGGGCATGACAGCTTTATTTTCCCATATACATGTTGAAAACACACACTTGCAAAGCATCAAGCTGCTCTGCCCAGAAGCACAGTACAACAATGTCTCTTCTACTTACAGTGCCATCTCAGTGAATGATAGACCTGGATCACTGCCTCTGATTCACTCCATTCCCCTCTGTGCACACACAACTCACCCAGCCCCGGCCCCTGCAGGGGTGGCCTTGACTGGCTCTTCTTCTCCCCTGGTTCTGAACCCAGAGCTGGGCTCACTGTCCATGCATCTCCAATCTGCCTGGCTTGGCACTGTGCAAGCATTTATAACCCATGATGATGCAGTCCCCAAGGGGTCCCTCGACTAGAGGAGAGCAGCAAAGGCATAGACACACAAAGGCATGTGCACACACACATACACAACGGGGGACAAACTTTTTGCAGGACAGGCTTAACACTCAGTTAAGCAAGTGTCTGTTAACTACAGGCCAGATCCTGCTTTTCCTCTTCCCACTCTTCTCATCAGAATTGCAGGTCTTAGATGAAAGAAAGGTCAATCCCCAACCAATGATACATTCTTCCCTACCTAACCTACACTAAACTCGTCTGTTTTTACTTTTGGTCCAACTTCAAGGTTTATGATTGAAAACACCCACGTATCACCTAAGAAAGGGGCTATCATTGGCTGGTAGGGAGGCAGGACAGCTATTTAGGTATATAATATCTCCAAACAGCCATGCATAGACATCACTTCCATATGAAATTATTAGTTTCCATTTATTTTCATAAAATCATATTATCATAGAGTTCGAAGGGACCTCAAGGGTCATCTGGCCATCCCTTCTACATATTGTTATCCCTTCTACATCTGGCTATCCCTTCTACATCTGGTTAACCCTTCCACAAATGCAGAAAGCTACTCCTAAATCACCCTGACCAATGCTTATGCAGCCTCCTCTTTGAAAATCTCCAGTAAAGGAGATTTCAGAACTTCCCCTGGGCAGTCTATTTCACTGCCTCCCTGCTCTAACAGGAAGGAAGTTCTTCTTGTGATGTAATCTAAATCTTGCTCCTATTTTAAGTTATTGTCTCATGTCCTACCCTGCATGACAAGGGTGAACAATGGGTCTCCCTTTTCTTTATGGCAACCTTTCAAATATTTGAAAACTAATATCATGTCATCTCTTAATCATTTTTTCTTCTTCCTCAAGCTAAGTATGCCACATTCTCTCAACCTTTCATCAGACCACTTGCTTTCAAACACCTTTATCACTCTTGCCAGCTGTCTCTGCACCTTCTTAAAATGTGAGGCCCAGAAAGACAGGCATCCCCAGAGCCTTTTGGACCCATGCTATGTCTACTTTTGCATCGTTCCTTCAGCTACCAAGCAGCTTTAAATTCATCAGAAGAATTTGGGGCAAAAAGCCCCCGAGTGGATAACTGAGGAATAACTTTCCTATAGAGCAAGTACCTATAACCCGCAGGAGTAATGGCATACTTGGAAGAAGCCAGAAGTTTCCATTTCTCTTTATTTTCCCTCTGAGATTTTGAGGCCAATAAATCCTGCAGCCTGAGGCCCACTCAGAGCCAAAAAGAGGCAGAGCCCCTTGGCAGATACCCCCTCCTTTGCATAGCATTTCACATGGAAATTCATTTCACATTTCACATTTGAGACGTATAAGTGAAAGGTGCATGGTATCACCAATCTACCCTGATCCCTCCTGCCCTAAAAGTCACCCAAGAACTTCATATTCTAGGGATGTAGGATTGGAATAGGCATCAGTTCCATCATCTTGGGTTCATAGGCAGTCATTAACCTAAGGAACCCCTAAAATCACCATGTTAAACCCTTGTACAGAACCACAAGACACCAAATCCAACTCACAAAGACGACCTAGAAACTACCATATGTAAAAGCAAGGGAAATGAGGGCTTAGAATCATAGAATCATAAAAAATGAGGGTTGGAAGAGACCTCAGGTCACATCTAGTCCAACCCCCTGCTCCAGCCATGACCAGTCCCAACTACATCATCCCAGACAAGGCTTTGTCTAGCTGGGGCTTAAAGATCTCCAAGGATGGAGACCCTACCACCTCTCTGGGCAGCCTGATCTAGTGCTTTACCAACCTAGTGAGAAAGTTTTTCCTAATATCCAACCTAAACCTCCCTTGCTGCAACTTTTTTGCCCTGTCACTGCAATGACAAAGAAGTGCTTGGTTAATTGATGCTTAGAAAATCCTAAGGAAACACTTGGACCCAACATTACAGAGGCCGTGTCTACATCACATACTGACTGTGCAGTAGCTCATTACTACTGAGTAGTAGCTTGTTACTACTGCACAGTAGCATTGTGTGGCATGAACCATGACATCATGCTACTGTGCAGTAGTAACGAGCTACTGTGCATTAAGAGTTATGATACAACCATTCTGGGATGTGACTGTGCCATAACTCTGACTACTACGCAGTCATTTAGGACTTGGGTATGCAAGTCCTAAATGACTGCACAGTAACAACTGTGCAGTCAGCATCTTATGTAGATGCAGCCAGTGAAAGGCAAAACAACTCACAGTTTGTGCCAATCTGACC